CCCCAATTTTATTATAGACATTTCTTCACATCCCCCTCACCCCCAGTAGTATGTATCAGGAGAAGCTCATCTTCATCTCAGCCACAAATAGGCCTCATTGATCTAAAAGTAAACCCAGTGACTGGGTTTCCAATGATTGACTTGGGAATAGGCTCGTGACCCAATTCTGGTCCGGCTTCTAACCACCAATTCACGCTGCATATTTCATAGGGTTATTGTGAGAACTAAAGTGGGCTATTGCTTATAACATACTTAATATATGGTAGGCCGACAATAAATGCTAGCTACTGCTGTGATGATTATAGACTCAAATATCAAGAAAAACTGAGAAGGCATGTTCAGAGAAGGAAGGCAAAGAAGTATGGTATGACAGAAGCCAAGAGAAGAGTTTTGGAAGGGCATAGCAAGATCAAATGCCATGGGAAAATAAAGTGACACGAGAGTTGAAGAGTGTAATGGGTCTAGCCTTTGGGACATAATGGGTGACTTTTGCCAGGGAGGTGTTAGTGGAAGGGTTGAGGTGGAAGGCCAGCCGACTGGCTAAAGAGCAAACTTGAATCTGAGGGGAGACGGTGGCTATCTATTGCAGATTAGCAGTTTCACTGTGATGGAAAGGAGAGAAAGCCAACAGGAGTCTCCAGAGAGAGTGCATTTATAAACTTTGAGGCAATAGCCAGCAAAGGTACCATTGAAAATTTAGGAGAGAGAACAATGATGGGACAGGTACCAAAGGAGACTGAAAGAGATGGCATCAAGCTCAGAGGTAGAGGGAGGTATTAGTCTTGAAGAACTGGGCCATCTTCTACCCTCTAATGTTTTTCCAGGGGCAGGAGATAAGAGTAAGTTCAGATATAGATGCATTTATTAACATGGGGGGTGGGGGTGGAGGGAGTTCACCTTTGGAATAGTTCATTTTTCCTAGTGAAGCAGAGGCAGGGTCATCGGCTGAGGAGAGTATGAAGCAAGTAGTGGTCAAAGATAGTTGCTGTTGGATGAAGCCAGCCTGGAGAACTGGTAAAATCAACTCTAGAGTACTGACAGCTGAGGGCATAGCTAAATTGGAGACCAGGAATTTTCAATGGCTTTAATATATAGGAATATATATATATATATATACATATATATATATATATATATATATCTCCAGCACCTCTCACCTACCCAGGTGGAGATAGAAGAATCAGTCTGTCTACGCCCTCAGCAAGTTAGAAAGTATGAGCTTGAAAGTAATGGAAATAGCGACCATTTGACCATAGTCCTTTCTGGTTCCTTATACACCCCTGAGGCCTCAGTCATACAAACAAAACCTATGCCTACAGTTGGGACTGCCAACCACTGTTCTCAAAGGGTCAGAGGGTTAAAGAACAGACCGTCACTCCCTAAAATTCAAAGAGAAGAATCAAATTGTTAGCTAAAACACTTTACCTGGGAATCTCATTGTGTTCCAAGATTACAGGTGGTAAAACAATACTCATCCTTTGATTAAATGCTATAAATCTAAAATTTGATGTGTCCCTTTTCTTTCATCTAGGATAAAACAAAGTTAAGGACATTTATATTCAAGGCTTTGTGTATAATAGATAGGATTAGTAGGATTAAGAGCCACATGGCATGTAAAATAAAACTACACAAATACTTAAATTATTCAGTAGGTACGCCTATGGTACATAACATGACATCCTGCTGAGTCAAGAGAACTTAAAGCATCTCTCCATTATTAGCAACTTCATTCCCACAGTTACCTTTCCAGTAGGTACACAGCCAGGAATCACCCCTAAACCTGGCCAACAAGAGAAGAATGTCTACCTGTTAGGAGTTAGGAAGGAACTTTTCTCCTTCAGGAAGTTGCTTTAGGATATTGTTTCAAAATTGCTGTTGGTTATTTTAATTGATTTTGTTTAAAGATTTTATTTATTTATTTAACAGAGTGAGACACAGCGAGAGAGGGACACAAGCAGGGGGAGTGGGAGAGGGAGAAGCGGGCTTCCTGCCTAGCAGGGAGCCCAATGTGGGGCTCCATCCCAGGACCCTGGGATCATGACCTGAGCTGAAGGCAGATGCTTAACGACTGAGCCACCCAGGCACCCCTATTTTAGTTGATTTAATGAGGAGTTTTTTCTTCTAAAAAGCTTAAGGTGTGTCCTTTCATTGTTTAAAAGAGAACAAAGACAATAGTAAACAAGTGACTATTATAAGATATGACAAAGCAATGAAAGTACCATTTATCCAGATAGAAGACTATCACTGGTTGCACCTCCCTTGCTCCGAGACCATTCCTTGCTCTGAAGTCATCGCTCACAGAGATAGATAGATGTCTCTTCAGAGCCTCATAATAGGCACATATGCCTAAAGCATTAGAGTGAACTAATCTTATTTCTATACCTAAAATAATGCTGCCATCATATCAACATATTACTCACAAACATGAGTAAAAAGAAAAGACTTTTACAAATATAAAGACAGATTTCTTAGAGAAGTCTTCTGACTTAGAAGATCATCATTGGGATTTTAATACTGGGATATAAAGTGGAGTCACTGGAGCTTAAATATCAGAGATCTTATTAGCTTATTAACTAGCAAGGAGGCCAGAATTTACTTTGTAATTATAAACATCCTAGACTGCTGAGAGAATAGCATAATGTAGGGGGGAAACAGCAACAACAACTAGCAAGTCTCCTTTTATGTATTAGATATGTGAATAATAAGTGAATAAGACTCAGTCACTGACCTCAAGGAGGTCTTTCTCTCATCTTTCTGAAAATAACTGTGAGACAACATTTAGTGAACCCCTCAGTGTGAGGAAGCTCAGTGCCAAGTTATAGTATGGAAAGAACACTAAGACTTGCTGCCACTCATTCATTACAATGGAGTCACATCTCTTTTAGGACAGGGTGATAGTCCACAGATAACAAGAGACATTTTTCTAAGTAAAAGTCACCTTAAATATGTTTTGGGGAGTTGTATGGGGCCATTTTGGCCATTTTTTCCTGCATGACTTGAACAGATCGTTGTTTCTTTGGCTGACCATCCAGGATACACTTCAAACTTATGTCATTTGAAAAATATGTATTGTTAAACAATGAATGTACATTTGGAAATATGGCTTTGTTTTACTTTTTAAAAACCATAAATGGGATCCCATTGTACTTATGTTTATTTTACCTCCTTAGGGTGTTTAGGAGGTCTTAAGCACCTATGACAACTTGTGCTTTCTAAAAATGGCCACAGCAATATTTCTGGTCCCACATTCTCTTTAAAAACCTTGCCTTTCCCCATCAAGAAGTAGGGTCTATTTCCCCTCCCCCAGACCTGGGTGAGGTTTTGTGAGGGCGTGGAGAAATACAAGGCAGCAGAATTGACACTGCATGACTTCTAAGGCAGATAAAAGGTAATATGGTAGAAACCTGGCTCTCCTTCTCTTGGGATACTCACCCTTAGAACCTAGCCATCATGCTGTGTGAAAGCCTAAAGTAGTCCATATTGAGACCACCTGGAGAGATCTACATGGAGTTGAACTGAGGTCTCCAGCCTGCAGCCTCCAGCTAGTATCAACCACCAACATGAAAGTGAAAAGTTTTCAGATGATTCTAATTCTCAGCCTTCCAGTTAAGGCCATATGCATAAAGGGAGCAGAGAAAAGTCATTCCTGCTGTGAGGTCTGAATTCCTGACCCACAGAATCGGTTGGCATAATAAATGGTTGTTTTATACCACTGTGTTGTGGGGGTACTTTGCAATGCAATCACAGTAACCTGAAGTGTACCAATATATTCTATTATATTCAATCTATTTCAATATTTCAACAATAACATAATTAACTATAGTATTAAGGCATCATAAGCTTATTTTAATCATTCCTTAATCATTCCACTTAGGCGGTTTGGACTTGTTTCCAATTATAGACAAGGCTAAAATAAATAAGCATCTACATCTCTATTTGTACACAAATGTCAATATTTCTATAAAAATCTATAAATTAGTTTTTATAAAACCTATAAATGAGTTAATAAATACATGTAAGATATTTAGAACCATCCCTGGCACATAGTAACACATTTTATTATTACTATTTTTATCACTGTAGATTGAACTTCTAGATGGAAGGTTTGTCCTTACTATCTTTGGTGACAAGGATCCTAACAATTGTATCTAATAGCTATGCTACAGTGTATCCCACTTTCTAGAGTTTATCATGGCAGAAAGTTGCAAACATAATCAGTCATAAAATTATGTCTCTGAAAACATCCATCTGCTGCTGACATGACTAGCTCTACAAATCAGTTTTCGAAAAGCTTAATGTGCTCGGTGTGATGGAGAGTTACAAGAAGAGATCTGCTGGAAATACTTGCGGACTAGAGAGGAAAGAGCGAAGCCACGTGCTCAAGTGCGTGCGGCTGTTCAATTCCTTTTGCATCCGCTTGGGCGGACCACTTGGTGGAGTAAGTGAGGAAGAGGTTCAGGACTTCGCTTTCCCGGTGACAGTTTGTGTCTCAAGTTTAGGAATGGGCTTTTCTCGCCGTTGTCACTCTATTCCACCATCTCTAACTCTTCCCCAGACGTGCTTGTATCTGCCCAGCACCTTTTAATCACATTTACTTCCAAATTCCTGGGTGGGGTGAAGGGGGGTAAGGAGAGAGGAAGAGGACTACCTGTCCACCTTCTCTTGTCTCAAAGGGGCAGACTGATCAAACAACTCACACTGCAACCAGTTTTCAACAGCTTTTAACGCCCTCTCTCTTTCGATTTTTCTCCCGTTTTGCCCCACTTTTTTAAGGGCTGCAGGTAACCGCCCTCCCCCCTCTGCCTCCCTCCCCCGCCCCTCTCCGGGTCAGGGCAAACGTAGTACAGCTGAGGAAGAGCATTTTTAGAGGACTCGTGTGCGGCCGGGTCGGCAGACCACCAGCCCGCGGGCTTCGCGGCCGCTCCGTTGGGGCGGCGGGCTTGGAACAGGGAGCGCCGGTCCCGCCCAGCTCTCCGCGGCCCAGCGTTGTAAGCTCGGCGGGCTGAGGAGCTCCAAAGCCGAGGACGGTGGGCTGGGAGCCGGAGACTCCAAAGCCCTCAGCAACTTCCCGGCCCCACAGCCCCACCCAGTAGCACGCGGCCTCCCCCAGAGACCACAGGAGACACCTTCGTCCCCGCCCCTCCGCAGGTCACCTCCTTCCACGCCCCTTTCCCTTGGCCCCGGCAGCCGGCAGGCAGGGAAGTGTCGTAAAGCCAGGCCTAGGAAACTTTACCCGGGGTAACAGCCGAGGCGCTTTACGGCGACGGCGGCTGAGTGTGAACCTTGGCGGTGGTGGAGGCGGCCGCGGCGGCGAAGGAGGCGGCGGCAGCGGCTGAGGAGGAAGAGGAGTGGCGGCGGGGACCTGTGCGGGGTGAGCCGCGCGGAGGGGACAGGGAGGGGTGCGGGTGACAGGGCCAGCGGATGGTTGCGGGCGGACGGGGACGGTGGCCGGCTGAACAGCTGGGCGGCGCTGAAGAGCGGGGGGGGCGCGGAACTGGGGGGGCTGCTCCGTGAGGGACGGTTTCTGCCTTTGTTCCCCCCCCACCTGCACCGTTCCCCCCCCGCCCGCCCGCCGCCCCCTCTGCTGCGCGCTTGTCCGCCGGGTCTCATGGCCTCCCCTCTCGGTCTGTGTCGCCTCTAGGATGGCGGAGGTACCGCCTGGGCCTAGCAGCCTCCTCCCACCACCAGCACCTCCGGCCTCGGCGGCGGCCGAGCCCCGCTGTCCCTTCCCGGCGGGGGCCGCCCTCGCCTGCTGCAGCGAGGACGAGGAGGACGACGAGGAGCACGAAGGCGGCGGCGGCAGGAGCCCGGCGGGCGGCGAGGCGACGGCGGCGGCGGCGGCCAAGGGGCATCCGTGCCTCCGCTGCCCTCAGCCGCCGCAGGAGCAGCAGCAGCTCAACGGATTGATCAGCCCCGAACTGCGGCACCTCCGGGCGGCCGCCTCCCTCAAGAGCAAGGTTTTGAGCGTGGCCGAGGCGGCCACGACCACGGCCACCCCCGACGGGGGGCCCAGAGCGACTGCAACAAAAGGAGCTGGGGTACACTCGGGCGAGAGTCCCCCTCACTGCCTCCCCAATAATGGAAGAACTGCGCTCCCCAGCCCGGCAGAGGCAGTGGCGGCGAGCGATCCTGCGGCGACCCGCAATGGACTGGCGGAGGGCACCGAGCAGGAGGAGGAGGAGGAGGAAGACGAGCAGGTGCGGCTGCTGTCTTCATCCCTGACCGCCGGCTGCAGTTTAAGAAGCCCCTCAGGCAGGGAGGTTGAGCCTGGGGAGGATCGGACGATACGTTATGTCCGATATGAATCCGAGCTACAAATGCCCGATATCATGAGACTGATCACCAAAGATCTGTCTGAACCCTACTCCATTTATACCTATAGATATTTTATCCACAACTGGCCACAGCTGTGCTTCTTGGTAAGTGGATGGAATGCAAAGAGGGTGAACCCCGCGGAGAGATCCAGGCCGTGCAGGGCAGGGAGTGTGAGGGCTGAGAGTGGCAGTGGATGTGTATACTCCTGCGTTTCATAGTATGTTACATGATGGAAAGTGCGTGTACGCACTACTAATTATTTAATGAAACTTTGGAAGGTAAGACGTCTTGATCTGGCTTAAGTTGGTATGTAAATGCAACAAGCCTGTATGATGCATGTTGGGGGTCTTGGATCCTGTTTATATTAGCTTATAGTCATGTTTAACTGTCTTTAATTACCCTCCCTCATCCTCAAAGCACTTTGCAATCATTTAATTTGAACATGGTTCTGTTCGGATACAGGCTTTATTAATCTCCCAATTACAGCCGTAATCAGGGAAGAGTGTATGCATAAACATGTTTTGGTGAACATGACTGTCAGTAAACTTGCTGTGGCCACATTGGAGAATTAAATCTTAACAAGCATTTTCTTATTTTCAAGTAATTATGGGGATTGTTTCCTTTTACTTCAACAGGACAGTTAACAGTTGTAGCACCAGAAAACACGCTGGTGCTAGATTTTAGAAGGCACTACTAACACTTCTGGTGACTGAAAGACTCCTGAAACTTGAGCAAAATACCTTTTTGTGGAATGTAAGAAACTAAGTGTGAAATTGTTACTCACCTAATTTTTTTCTTTAAGAAACTGGTCATAGATATACCTAAATACTAGTAGTAACACTGGCCTGTGTAAAGTTATAGTTGACAAAATTTTTTTACTTATATGTAAGCAAAAAAGATTTGGCTATGAAACTAGCTAAATAGTTTTTTGTTTTTTAATTTATGTAGTATTGGCAGTACCGGTAGTTTCTTCCCAATAATACTGACCAACTTTAGTCTGTATGAAACCTTTCACTTAAATATTAACTGAAGGTATATGCTTTATATCTGTGTCCTCACAAGCATTTTGTTTCCATTGAATTTCACTGAGGAAAGGCAACATGCTTTTAATATTTTATGATATGTAAAGGGAGAGCACTGCTATATTTATTGTTTTAGCATTGACTTAGTTGCACTTAGCAAATCCCTGCAAGACGTTTTGACAGTGCTTTGAAATCTATCTTTTTGATTCTATATGTTGATAATCTGAAAATACTACTTCAATATTGTAGATAATGGTAGTTCTGTCGTTTTCTATGTTCAGTTTGCTAAACTTCAATTTAGTATGTCTGTTTAAATTGTGGGAACTATCTTATATTTTACAAAACTGCACTTCCAGGATTCTAACCATTGTATCAAAATAGTTCTTAGACAAGCCTATGCTAATGAATATGGGAAAGTGATTTTATAGCACTATTATACATGTCATATTAAATGCCAGTGTAATTGCTAAAAATTTATGATTGATTTAATTGTAAGTTTACCCACAAAAGCATACACTTGAGTCAAACCTTAAATTGAAATAGTATATGTATTTCTGTTAATTACAGAAAATAGTTGTATATGTAATATTTAGTCAGCTTTGGGTTCTGTTATTACCTCGGCCTCTCTCAACTTGTCTGCCATTTTAGACTCTGATAAACTTAGTAAATTTTAGTTTTGATATTTCGTAGACTCCTTCCAGTTCACCAGCTGATTTGTACTTTAGCTCTTTAATAGCTGGTTTGTTTAACATTAAATTCTGAATATCTGGAAATTGAGATATGTACAGGTGGTTGACATCTAAGATTTACTAGTGCAAATATATATCTGGAGGTATTGAACATAAAACAGTAGTTAATCAGAGGCCATTTAGAATTGGGGCCTTTATGTTGGCATTTAAAAAATTTGAATTTCCTGTAAGAACTAATTTAAAACAAATATAAGTGTGTATGTTTATTTTAAGTCATATCATTTTAGAACTGTAAAGGATCTTAAATATAATCTAGCTCAACTTTACTTTTTTTTTTAATGCAAAAAAAATTAAGGACCAAAGTGACTTAAAATGTTTAAATCTTCAGATACTTAGGGGCGCCTGCGTGGCTCAGTTGGTTAAGCGACTGCCTTCGGCTCAGGTCATGATCCTGGAGTCCCAGGATCGAGTCCCGCATCGGGCTCCCTGCTCAGCAGGGAGTCTCTTTCTCCCTCTGACCCTCACCTCTCTCATGCTCTCTCTCAAATAAATAAATAAAATCTTAAAAAAAAAAAAAAAAAAACCATTTAAATCTTCAGATACTTAGGAGTGCCTGGCTGGCTCAGTCAGTGTAACATGCAACTCTTGATCTAGGTTGTGAGTTCGAGCCCCAAGTTGGGTGTAGAGATTACATAAAAATAAAAGCTTATTAAAAAAAAAAAAAAAAAGCTTCAGGTATTCAGTGGCAGAGAGGTAAAACTAGAACTTTACCTGACCTCTTATTATGGAAATAAGAACCTGAAAAATTACATACTCTTGACAGTGAAGATCATTGTGTTACCAAGTTATGCTTCATCAAGGGACGGTTGTCCTTGCAAACATGAAAAATCTGAAGAGATTGAAAACCTCCAAAATGTTTTTGGTTTCCATATAACCTGTAATGGATCAAATGGAATGTATGAGGTTGAACCTTAGAAAATTGCCAATACTTGACCATATCTGACTAATAAAAATGACAGTTTCTTACGATTCTTCCTAATAATTGTAACATGTGAAAGTAGAGTACCAGACAAATGGGAGACACCGTGAATTACTCTACTCTTAACTAATTTAGCTCTACCTCTTTTGAGTTCATGGTATTTTCAGCTGTTGGTGTCTTTTTGAACTTCTTAAACTTATTACCAGTGATGTATTCTAGTCTGTTTATTCTAAATTTAACTTTCTGGCTTCCTCTGTTTTCCCATGTATAGCATTCTGGAATTTGGGAATTTCTATTTCACACAACTTGAATTTTTCAACTTTTATAGATTGACAGGCATTTGGCCTTGTAGAGTTAAGTCTTAATCTTGCCAGGAATTTTTCAGTTCCCATCCTTGAAAAAAGAACACATTTGATAGTATGAGTTCCAAATATATGTGCAAAGCTTTTATTTGGAAAAATTGACAAATAGTTTAGTGATTCTTATAAGTGTATATCCATCAGCAATTTATCAGAAAAAAAAAACAGCATAGGCCTTCCTCACTACCAACATCTTATTAGTAATAGTATATTGTAAACTGGGCTTTTATTTTTTTACTGATTCGTACCACTTGATTTTTGCTCCTACAAATTCTTAATTAGGAAGAAGTCAATCTAGTCCAAGTGTGAACTGATATAATACTTCGTTTGCCTATTACTTCCTTGGTCAAAGGACGAAGATTTGTTTGAAATTCCTATCCAATTTGAAAGTCTTGTCCAATTGTATTATGTCTAGAGGTTCTGATTTTGAAGAAACTTCTTTTGGATGGTTTACTAACTGTGAAGTGTAGCTGTCCTACAGTTTTGTATCCTAGATTTATGTAGGTTTCTGTTTTTCCCTAACTTAAGAGATCAGGTCAAAAAGTATTTTAATGTACCATTAGTTCAAACATGTACACACACACAACCACATACATATATTTGAGGTGAGTTACTTTCAAATCAGAAAAATGCTGTCAGAGTTGTTCAGCCAGCCAACTTTTGTGTATTTTTCAGGTCTTATTTCAGAAAGAAATTTTAGTTTTCAAAAGAATTTTGATAGAACCAGATTGATTTATTGTGAATGAAAATGGAAATAGCAATTTTAGAGGTTTATTGGTTCAAAATAGTTTTGGATTGTGTGATAAAGCAGAAATGCATTAGTGTGAATTGTTGAATTTAATATCCCATCAAAAAGATTTTTCTGCCCTAGTTCAGGTTTGTGTGAAATGGATTAGAATTACCTTGCCTACAAGATTTCTCCACAATTAAAAAAGGACTTTTTAATCATTTTACAGAATGAGGGCTTTTTAATTTTTTAACCCAATTCCTGGTTTTTGTTGCTGAAATAGTTTCTTCTAAAAATTTAATTTTATTAAGAGATAATTTGAAGTTTTCCTATTTTTTTAATGAGTGCTCTTTATAGCAAACACATATTTCTAGCGAGCTGACACATTATTAAATTATTGGAGTATTGCCCTATTGATATTTACCAGAATACAGTATTATTAGAACTTTTCATGAGTGACAGAACTTTTGAAAAACATTTTTAATGGTAACACTGGAAATCTTAATGAAAATGGGGGATGATTAGCATTTATTCAACATGTAACCTTTAATACTCTGGAAAGACAGACATTTTTATTAAAATAATTCTATAAAGTTATATTAAAGCTTTTAGTATAATATGAAACTCTGATTTTAAGTTCTAGATACTCTCTGAGCTTTATGAGAATGATAGTGTCAGGAGTGTCCTAAAAATGAGACTATTGTATATCTAGTCTTCATGGTCGTTCACTAAAAAAACCCCTTGGGTAGGATCCAAGGAATACCTTAAAAGCAATCTTTTTTCTGAAAATCATTTACATTTTTTTTTTCCTGATCAAAATCTAACCCTACTGTTCATGTATAAATATCATGTCTTACATTTGTTTTTCACCAAAACTTTATTAGAATTACGTTTAAATTTACAGTACTTTGATAAGCAAGTTTCACAATATTTTATCATATCCTAATGAATAGACATTTTCTTAAAAAAATTACTTTCATATATTTCCGCCTTTCCAAATCTTAAACATGTAGGTCTTTATTGCAAATAATTATAAGCACCTCTTATAAAGTACTTGAATGTTTGCTTTGTGGGAATCTTGCTTCCCCCCTCCCCACTAGGCTTTGATAATAAACATAAGCAATTCATGCCCTAAACAACGTTGAACGATTTTAAAACTGGAATATTTGAAGGAGTTCTAGGATTTAGATTTCTGAAACTTCTGTGATTGCTCTCTTACTGGAATTCTTATCTCTTCTTCCTCAAAAATGTGACCAGTGGTTGGTTGCTGTTTCCCTGGGTAATTGTGCAGTACCTGATGGCAATGTATTCTTCATAACTGTTTGTTTATTTTTAAGGCCATGGTAGGGGAGGAGTGTGTAGGTGCCATCGTTTGCAAGTTGGATATGCACAAAAAGATGTTCCGCAGAGGTTATATAGCCATGTTAGCCGTGGATTCCAAATACAGGAGAAATGGCATTGGTAAGGAAAATATTATGTCACTAAAAGAATGCATAAGTTGTTTTCATTTTTGTTTTTTGAAGCAAAAGGTTTAAATGTAAATATGTAGAAATGAGAAAGAAGCGAAGGGAAGAAAATTAAGGTTTTTATTCCAAAATATTTTTAAAATGTTCTTAAAATGACTTGTTTATTAATGCTTTGAGAAATTATCTTTCTAACAAGTAGCAGGTGATCAGTTTTTAACCTCCAAACATTTTTTTTTTATCACATTCAAAATGATTTGTGTTATACTACATACTGCCGTTTTCAGTAGCGTTACTGGGGCACTTGATCACAGCCCTCCAGGAGCTGTCTATACCTGGCTTAAGTGGACCTCAAGGCAAAATTATGGAGAAATTGTTACCATTATTTAGTACTAGTCCTCAAACATATTAACAAATCAGGGAGAACCAGGAGAAAGAATTGTTTCTTAGTATTCCCAATTTCATCTCTTTCTTGGGTCTACTTTTCCTGGCATTTTCAGTTAATCTTAAACTTGTGATTTATAATGGTCATTAGAATCACTGGGTGGTTTAAAAACAAATGCTTAGGTCCCTCCTCCTGAGAATCTTGTTTGTCCTGTTAAAAGTAGGACTGAAGCTTCCCCAGGTGACTGTGATGTAAGCCTGGTTAAGAGCCACTGTCCTAGTGTCTAGGACCTACTGGCTTTTTGTTCAGGATGGGGGATCAAGCACTTGTCTGAGCGTGTCCAATTCTGGGATCTAGTGGAGCTCAGTAAGAATTCGTGAAAGATTTCATGCTTGTACCAGTATTTAATTACTAGCAGTTTTTTTGTCACTTGTAGTTTTTTTTTTTTAATACGAATGTTTTTGTCCGATTTAAGACTGTTTCACACAATCTGAGATGTCATGAGAAATCATTATGAATAGGTTGACTTAATACATTTGGTTTAATCAACCTTTCTTATTAGAGTTAAGAGTTTACTACTAAGGTTTTTAATGGATTGGACTTGTTATATAAGCCAAGTTTGAGTTTTTGACACATTAAAAAGAGCTGATAAGGGCTCATGGCAAATGATTAGCAATTGTCTGACTAGTTCACAGGGCAGAACCTGGTGGCTTGAGGGCTGCATCTTAGCCCTCAGACATTTTGTTTGGCCCGTGTAATGTGATCTTCCTCATGTGCATGGTTGGAAAATTAAGAGATTCCTTACAGAATCTGGATTTCTTAAAATCAGAGTTGGCAGTTGTTTTCCCTTTTATGTACCAGATGTATCTGACCCTAAACTAGGATACATTTTGCTAGACATTTACAGAGACACCACTGGCATCATTTGGGAATGCTGGACTTCAGTATGCTCAGGCTCACTCTAAGGTTTGTAGGAACCAACCCAGTATCTTGGGCCCACTCTGCGTCACAGCAGTTTCTGGTGTAATCTTTGGCAAGATTCGCTCAAGAGTCTTTTAGTAACTTCAGCTAGTTCAAGGGTTTCCTGGGTTGCTCTGACCGTACCATATCTTGCCTTTTTCTTTTTCCCCTTTTCTCTTACCTTCAAACAGAACAGCACAAACTCCTACTTGGAGCAAGTAATTACACCTAAGAAAAAGGGATACCTATGGAGGGAGATAGGTTTTTTATTATATTGCCATGTGTAGGTTCTTTTGGCCTCTCAGTTTAAATTTTTTCTCACTTAAGATAGTCTGTGTATCTGCATTCAAGGTAAATCCAGCATTTGATATTTCTGTGCTTAGTATGAATATGATAATTTAGGTATCTTTAAGAAACTAAATTTTCCTTCATTAATACTCATATCTATGTTCTAGGTACAAACTTGGTTAAGAAAGCTATATATGCCATGGTTGAAGGAGACTGTGATGAGGTAAGTCTTTCTAAATGTTTAAAACCCTTTACTGTGGTCTGTATTCTACCAGTTTTTTTTTTTTAAATAAGTATTCCATAATAAATTATACGGCAAATTTCATTGCAAACTATTACATAACTGTTGCTTGTGGTGAAAATTATATTCCTTTTAAAAACACATGAATTTTGGGTTCCTGTGTGGCTCAGTCGTTAAGCGTCTGCCTTCAGCTCAGGTCATGATCCTGGGGTCCCGGGATCGAGTCCCACATCGGGCTCCCTGCTCGGCGGGAGGCCTGCTTCTCCCTCTCCCACTCCCCCTGCTTGTGTTCCTGCTCTCGCTGTCTCTCTCTGTCAAATAAATAAAATCTTTAAAAAAAAACAAAACAAAAACACATGAATTTTGATCTAGAACAATTTTAAGATGATAATGGGAGCTAAAATTTGTTCTTTGTCAAAATGTAAAGGTGAAATCTTAGACATTTTCAGTAAATAATTGGTATTCAGAGGAACTGGTATTCAGAGGATTTGTTCAGTTAAAGTCACTTAAGGTAGCTCTTATTATAATCTTACTGCAATTTCCTTACATATTGGCCTTGGTTTCTCTCTAAATAACATTTTTTTTTTTTAACTTTGGGCCAACTGTCAGCTCATATGAAAGACATTTCATGTTTGAAAAAAAATCAGCAATAAATAATGAGAAGGCTGAGGAGAAAAAATTACAACCACTTTTTAAATGTAGACCTGTCTGTGTATTAACCTAGGAGTGTCTTTTCTCTTTAGCCTGTTTGTACAGCCTAACCACAGCTATAATTTCTTTGTAGCCTACAGCACTGTCCTGTACACATAGTGAGTGCTCTGTAACTAATGGTGATGATTGGGAATGTTAAAATTTACTGTCATATGATGTGGAAGGAAATAAGTATGAACTAGAGAAGTATAGATGTTTTTAATACAGCAATGGTGACTGAGATGGAACAAAGTTGTATTGTGTTAATAATTTTATGAACCGTACAAGTGACAATTATCTTTATTATTGGAGGGCAACTATGCCTTAGAGAGTTCTCAAAATACTTAAAATTAGGTAATTTTTTCCTCAAAAGACTCTAACCTGTTTTGATTACTTTTTTTTTAAGACGGTTTTTTTTCTGTACAAAATGTATACACAGTCGTTAAACATGATGTGTATGTGTGATTTGAGGGTACAGAGTCCCTTCATTCACCATGCTCACACTCTGCAGCTCTTCATTCTTCTTTCCGCTTATAGCTACTCTTCATCTTCAAATATGTATCCTCCCATTTCTAAGCACACATCTAAGCTGTGTAATACGTTTTCTTTACACAAATGAAGCCATAGTTATTATTCTGCAATAATTACTTTTTTTTATTTAACAGTATCTCATGAACATGTTTCCAAGACAGAATACAGAGATTTACCATAGAGTATTCTCACCCTTCTTGTTCACATTAGTTTGTATTCTGGCAGATTACACTAAATAGTGGTTGTTTGAGAAGGCCTGCAGGTATGTTGGGCAGCACAGAGGAAATCATCCTGGCATTTCAGGATGTTCAGTGTTATTTCAAATAAGGTAATTCACATGTAGTGAAGGATCTTACATGGTTCACAACTTTTAATGTAATACCACAAAGTAAAAGATGCAGTGACCCTGATCATTTAAATGTCTGGTAACTAAAATTTGCAGAAGAGGATTAGACCGCATATGTTGATGGGTGTAAGTCTCTATGTAGCCACACTGGTTTAGTTCATCAGGAGGAGAAGTCAAGCTTCATAAAAGTTGCCAAACAGTTTGGAGAAATCTTTGGGTTGATAAGACCATGTTTTGATCCTCTACTGCTACTGAGTAGAGTGGTTTCCAGTGAGCAGGGATGTTACGAACAGGGAGTATTATGTTCCTTAATGGTGTTATACCTTTTGTGAGTTATCCTAGTCACTACCCGTGAGACATGGTAGTGTGCTTTACCTTAACAGAACAAATATGTTTATATCGTATTGGTTTTCCTTTAAAAGGTCTGGGGATTGATATGGAGATTTGGGTTATATTGTTTTAGTCTCATAGTTAGATCCTAAATTAGTGACACGTTTTATGGTAGAAATACTCTTTTCATTGTGGGCCTAAAAATCTAATTCTGATTTATTTTTCTTACTTTTGAAGCAAAGAGTTTTACCTATTCTTAGCCTGAAATGGGGATAGTTCCGAAGACTTACTTCTTTTGTATGATTTTTTTTACAGTTTGAATAGTTCTGCCTCTGGATTAGAGAACTCTTCTATGTTTTAAAAAAAATTGTGTCCCACGTTGTTCAGATAAAGGTTTTGCTCTATAAAGGGATAGAACCTTTGTTTACTCTTTATAAGGCTTTTCCTCTCCCTTTCCTTATGTTTTAAACTGTATAAGCCACGATTCTATCCCCTTTTCCCTTCTAATTTTTGAAAGTTAATTTGTCTTTGTTGGTTCCACTTCCTTTTATTACCATTTCATCCCATTTGGTTTGGTTTCTTACCCCTCGACTCCAGTGTAACTACTTTCTCACTGATGTATTTGCTAGACCTAGTAGCTTCTTGGTTCTCCTCTACTTATTAAACTACTTCTCAGTCTTTAAGGTCCAAAACAAATATCAATAACTTTTTAAAAGTTTTCCTTAATCCTTCTGGACAGAATCACTTGTGTGGCTTCTGTGGCTTTCTTGGCTTCTCTTTTTGTAAAATTTACTCCGCTGTTCAGAGTCTGTGCCTTAGCTGCTAAGGGAGCAGAGATTCCTTTTCTTGTTTACTGCCGTATTCTTAGTACTTAGTGTGGCATTTGTGATAGAGTACAATGGTTCTTAAGTATTTGTTGACAATTAGTTCAGTGCTTCCAGCATTTTATCTGTACCTCTTTTTTTTTTAATGGACTTGTGAATTTCAGCTTGTATAATTGTTAAACTTGTCTTTCCTTCTGAGCTTTCTGTAAGCTTTCTAGGAATGGCAGTCATTTTACTTGTTTTGTACATAGTAAGATTTAAAAAAAAAAGTATCTACAGAGTTCATCAGTTGTTAAAATACCTTTTGGTAAAAACAAAATCATATGTAAAAACAGTCTTGTATATAATAATTGTGTTCTGAGGAAAACTGAAATTTTAATTTCTAAGAATATAGTAACCAATTATAAAGTAACCAACATGTGATTTTACTTAAGTTAGGCCAACCTTCTTTTCTCTTAACGTGTTAAGGAATTTTGGCAAATTATTGGAAAGACATTTGAAAAGGGATTTAAATTACATTTTCCACCACTTAGGTTGTACTGCTAATTTTTTTTTTATTCTTCAAGAGATTTTTAATTCTATGCACCTGTACGGAGTTACATTTGGAAATCTCTGTGAAGCCTTACCATGCACATCCAGTCAATTTTTACTTCCTATTCTGTTTGTAGAATTTGTGACCTTGAGTCATGTTTATATTGCTCTTGGTTGCTATTGTCATTTTTAAGATAAATTTACATCATATTAAACCAAAGTTAGTAATCACAGAGTTGAACTGTAGATGATGTTTTTGTTCAAATAATAATGAAATACTCTCCTGATCTAATAGTTATTTTCATTTTGCCTTACCTATGACTTTCCTAATGTTTTATGTCAGAATTAGACATGTTAAAACAGCCTAACTAAAAGATCTTTTTTAATTTTCTGTATATTTGGAGCTTCTATAGAAGTTATAGCATGAAAAAAAGAAACAAGTGGATTTGTTGTTTCTTGAATGAGAAATACATTACCCATGTTGCTGACCTGGCTTGGATTTGGTTACACCCCCACATGTTCTGGCTGCCAAACATGTAGTGGCTACTAGGACAAGCATCTTGGGTTTGTGTATTACATTAGGGGAATAGTAAGAGAAATACATACAAATAGCATGAATAAGTTTTCTAGAATGTGGGATTGCTGGATCATATAGTAGTTCTATTTTTAAGTTTTTGAGGAACCTCCATAACTATTTCCATGATGGCTGTACCAATTTACATTCCTACCAACAGTGGCCTAATTTATTATAACCAATGATAAATCTGTTACATATTAACAAAATGCATATAATATCTTGATATATACAAATGCATCTCATGTATTTTTATGTTTTTTTGATATTGTACAAAGGTGAATTTTATGATAATGTACAAAGCCTTATATGTTTAACAGTTATATGTTGAACATTTTTAGTTTCACTGGAAACATATTTTGGCTGTGAGACAGAGGCTGCTGGGTAGAGAAGAGTAAAATGGAGATATTTAAGCTGTAAGGACTTTTGGTTGAGTAGTTTGTCCTAATTAAAGAACTGGTTATGAGAAGCCTGGGTTCTAGATCCATCTTCTGTCACTTAGAATTGTGTGATTGTAGGCAAGTCATTTAACTTTTTATAGTCTGTCTCTTTGTCTATGCAGTATGATCGTAATTCTGATCTTAAAGGAATGTTATGAAGAGCAGTAGTGGTGTTCAGTAGTATTGATGGAAGGTCTGTGAGGTGCCAGTTGATAGGCTAGTGCTTAGGTTCTAGCAGTGAACAGTTGGCCTCCCTCCAACAGTTCCAGCCTACAATATTAAAAAAATCTTTCTAAACTATAATCATTTGGTTTATCCTGACAATGGTTTGTTGCTAAGAGAGTCTGTGGAACTTCACAGTAATCCTTTTTCTGTTAAGTAGAATTCTACTTTGCCAGATTTCTTTGGGACCAAAGTAGCCTCATTATCCTTTGGCTTCCTATGTAATACTCCCATGATGTGGTCTAAAAGAATAGTTTTATATTGAGTTTTCACTGTAAACCCAGATTCTCTTTTAATTATAAGAATTTGAATGATTAAGTATTAAAAAGTAGTTACTTTTTTTCTGACATTTTCTATTTTGTCAAATGATCTCTTTGTTTAGAGAATGTGAGTGTACCGAGAGAATATTTTCATTTTAACTAAGGTTAGCCCTTTGTGTAATTCCATTTCTGTATAATTGGGCTGTATTTCACTAATCTGTTAGGATGCCAACAAACGTGAATACAACTCTTTACCACACCCTATGTGTGTATTTTTGTAGCCATAATTAGCTTCAGATGTGTCTTGAATATTTCCAGTTGCCAAATATTAACAAACAGACTTAGAATCCCTTCATTGTGTCTTAAGTAGGTTAGATCTCCCATTTGCTGCTTTGTTTTAATCTGGGAAACAATCAGGGGGAGGCACAGAAGAGTGGATACTATTAAGCTGTAGTTCAGATTTGGAGTCTGGTCTGTTTTTGCAGTTCTGGTGGCCTTGAGTTTCATTCTTTTGTAAATTGGAGAAAATCATATCTATTTCATAGGGTTATTGTGAAAATAACATAATGACAAATGCAGGTAAAATGACATAATGCATGTAAAATGCTTTACAATTTTATTAAGCCTTCAATAAATACTAGCTTAAAAAGAACCTTTCACTCCTTTTTCTGTGAAATCAAGTTCCAAGTTTTGAGTTGTTGTACCTTTATTGCTTCACATGTTAATTATTTTGACACATTTTAGCTTTAATTAGGTGGTGGCCTAAAACAGAATTCTAGGAGTTATGCAAGAGAATTGTTCAAAATTGAAACCTGTATTGATCAGACTGTAGTGTCCCATACTGGAAGATGACCTACATTACTAAAAAATAAATTCCCTTTTTTTAAGAGCAGAGAAAAATTGTTGACTTTTATTCTTAAACCAGTTTATTTGTTGTACAACATTTATTTAAATGTCCCTTCTTAGTAATATTTTCTCTTGCTCCTGAATTATTCATTGCTTGTGTACAACATTTATTTAAATGTCCCTTCTTAGTAATATTTTCTCTTGCTCCTGAATTATTCATTGCTTGTGTACAACATTTATTTAAATGTCCCTTCTTAGTAATATTTTCTCTTGCTCCTGAATTATTCATTGCTTGTGTACAACATTTATTTAAATGTCCCTTCTTAGTAATATTTTCTCTTGCTCCTGAATTATTCATTGCTTGTGTTTAGATCTTTAAAAAGTTCACATTTAGCATGTGATTTGCTTTAATGAGTTAATTGTGTAGGCAGTTGCTTTAAGATGATGCTTTTTCTTTCAGTACTTTGGTCATTTAAAAGTTTGGTAATGCTTTTGTTTGTTTAATGTTTATGTAACTGTAATATAATGAAAGGTGCTTAGGATGTATATAATTTACAAATATTTAAGAGCCTTCTATGTGTTAGGCAGTTTGTTAGGTACGTAGGAAATGGCTATGAAGGAGGTACACATGATCCCTGCCCTTGTTGGGCGCATCAGCTAGGAGAGATGACACCGTCATTAAATGTTGAATGAGAATGGAGTTGAATAAGGAGAAGTGCAGAGTGCTCTTGGGGTAATATAAAAGAAAGGGATACTTCACCCAGTCTGGAAGGGACAAGCTAAGGCCAAAAGCAAGGAGGACAGGAAGAGCATCCTTCCAGACAGAGAAAACAACTTATGTGAAAAGTCTAAGGTGGGAAAGATTATGGTGGGTTCCAGAAACTGAAAGTTCAGTGTTGATCATGGAGAGCTGGGGGAAGGGGAGGGGAATACCTAAACTGAAGTTGGCAAGGTAAGTAGAGGCCATATTTTGATGGGCCTTTTAGGTTTCTTTAGATTATTTTTAGATTGTGGACTTTATCTTGAGGACAAAAGGGAGTCAGTGGTTTTAAGCAGGGAGTTAACAAGAGCATCATTCTACTTAAAGAGAATGGAGACCTTTGAGTTAGGAGGATCTTGTAATTACAGTGGAAGTTGATGGCAGCTTGGACTAGAATGGTATCATTAGGGATAGAAAGAAAAGGGTCGATTTGAGAAATTTAAGAGAGAGAATTGAAATACTCGGTGCTTGGATATTTGTAGGGGGGCGTGAGAGGAAAGAAGTTCAACAATGACTCTTGGTTTCAGGTTTAAGGATTGGTAGGATGGAGATCTTGTTACTAAGATACGGAATTGTGGAGGAGAAGTTGATCATGAGTTCAGTTTTGGATAGGTTGAGTTGAGGTATATTCTTTTTCCTATTATTTACATCCGTTTGAATTCTTGTCAGGTATTTTGATAGCTTGAGAAAGAACAAAGAGACTCATAGGCTTTACTTGGGACTTTAATTATGCTTTGCTTTTTCTGTCCCACTTCAAACACCTGAGGGTTATGATATCCCAGCAGTAACTGTGGCTCACTGTGTCGGTAATTCTCAATGAGGTAGGTTGAGAATCAATAGAAAGGCAAATAGAGCTGTGTATCTAAAAGGTGTGAGGATGGGATAGAGGATGTTTTGGTAGAGGAAGGTAGAAACAAATTAAAAAAGGAAATCACACAATACCAAAAAGTATCATTTATTCATTGTCAGGGCCATTGGTTCAGTAATATTAAAAAAGACTCAGAAGTCAATACTTTATGTGTTCTTCTGTTAAGTGTTGATGTCCATAATATGTAGTCATTTGTTCTCAGACTGTAGTCTCCCAACTAGCAGCATCAGCATCAACTAGCAATTTTTTAAAAATACAGATTCTTGGGCTCCATCCCAAATCTACTCAGAAACTCTGGAGGAGGGGTCTCAGCAATCTGTTTTAACAAACCCTCCAGTTAACTGATGTTTGGGTACCTTTGGTCTAAAATCAGCAAAGGGTCAGATGAGTAAATATTTTAGACTTTGCAGACTATAGATCTCTGGTGCAGCTGTTCAACTCTGCTCCTTGTGTTGAGAAAGCAGTCCTAGACAGCATGTAAACAAATGGGCATGGTTGTGTTCCAATAAAACTTTATTTACAGAAGCAGGCAGTAGGCACATTTGGCCCAAGAGCTATAATTTGCAGATTCTGATGTAGACTGTAGACAATATGGTAATTGTTGCCAGGATAAATGATGACAAATTAATGAAAATATAGGAGTCGGAGGTCAATTTGAATAGTTTCAAGTACTGGTCAATTTTCTTCAGAGTTTTTATTGTTGATTTTTTCCTTTTCTTCGTCTTTTTGTCACACTATTTTTCTCCACAGGGAAACAATTCATCTTTGTTTTAGTATAAAACATGTATTCTCATTGCTAAAACTTTCAAAACATCACAAAAAATCAATAGAACAGAAAATGTTCACATTCCTACCTCCCCTTGCCCCAAGAGAAAATTACTATCACAATTTCAGTGACCATTTTTCTGGGTTCTTTCTGTACATCATTAACATTTATTGTTTCACCATCAATTTTAAAACAGAATACGGTATGTTTTTCTTAAATATTTGAAATGTTTATGTGTGATTTGTCAAATTATGAAATTATAAAATTAATTTCAAATATATAAAATTGTAACTTAGTTTTCTCCTCTTTTCGAAGGTTGTTTTGGAAACAGAAATAACGAATAAGTCTGCTTTGAAACTTTATGAAAATCTTGGTTTTGTTCGAGATAAGAGGCTGTTCAGATACTATTTAAATGGAGTTGATGCACTGCGACTTAAATTGTGGCTGCGTTGAGAAACTGACATCAAGGAACAACTTTCCAACCATGCAGAATCGACCTTTGCATGCAATGCAATTTGTACAAAATTGCTTTGCAGGTGGATTTAGTAATTTCCATGCAGCTCTTATCTGTCAGTGTCTCATTGAGTGTCGCACAATATTTGTTGCACTTTGGCATGGCGCATTTGTTCCGAATTAAAAGAGATTGTTTTAAACTTAAAAGAGTTCTTTTGGTACCAGCAAGATGTGCCAGTTGATAGCCAAGATTTGTTTGTTCATTTGCAAAGTCTGCTGACAATGTCATTTACACAGTGATCATTTTGTCACAGAACCAGTAAGTGGAACATGATTTTTGTTCCTTAAAAAAGCCAATGTAGATTGTAAAAATCTCCAAGTTATACTAACATTTCACATGAAACCTGCCATCGTTTTCTGAAGGGGGTGGGGGAAAAGCTTCAATTTTAGGTTTTATTTTTTTAATATTAAATTTTTCCATTCTTGAATATTGGTACCTCAGTGATTAGTGAATGAAAAAAATGTTATGTAGGGTTGGGTGTGTCTTACAATGAGTAAAGATAACAATTAAATTGCGTCTGCCAGTGCCTGTGTAGATAAATATATTTGTCTTCATCTCTAGTTTTTGAATGCATGCTATCTTTTCCTTTTCTTTAAGGTCTTTGCAAGCAAACTTTTGTTTTTATTTAAATTCTAAATTTGATAATAAATTATTTCAGATTTTTATAATTTGGATACTTTTTGCCAGGTGAGTGACAGAGTGGTTTACTGTAAAGTCCCTTTTTTCCTTACAGTAAGAAGTTGAATCTACTTGGAAAATCTTTGAGAAATGACTCAAAAGGGATGAGAAAAGTTGATGGAGCCGGGAATTGCTGGGTTTTTGGATGCACTTTTTTTTTTTTTTGAGAGAGGGAATTTTTGGAAAAGAATAGAAAATTAATGTAAATTGGTATGATTTTATTTAATCAAAATTATCGCTAAGCTGTGAAGGACAGCTTTTACAAAGCAGTTGGAACTTTTCCCACTTGATTTGGATTTCACATTGCTTCTGTTTCTTAAAATGCTTCACTTTTGGCTCTTGGTCTTGGAAATAAATTTCAAGGTGCATTGTATCCATTTTAAACTGATTTTCTTTTCACTTATTTGAGCAAATTCTTGGGGAAGCTTTGCTTAGTCCTCAAAAAAACAAAAGGGAAAATTGTAAAAAATTTTTGGAATGAGTTCTATGGGTTTTCTTAATAGTTATTACCATGTTCAGTTACATTGTATTTTGGCCAATCTGTGCAGTGTAACAAATTTTAAAGTTAATTGCTTTCAATTGAGTCAGGAAACCTGTGATGGATAATTTAACTGGAAAACCTAGGTACCCATAAAAAAAAAAAATTGATGCTCTGTGAAAAATGTTTTGTAGGATTCTATGTTGTTTTTTCTTTAATTTGGATATGCTTTACTTCTGCTCTAGGATTTGGTTTGAATTTTATTTTATGGCTATAATTACTGTATTTTTTAAAACCCTACCTCCATTAACAGTTGGTAAAAGCCCCCTTTCAGGAAAGTTTGTTGCCTTTTTTTTTTTTTTTTTTTTTTTTAAAAAGGAAAGCTGCTCCTTGCTCAGTGTAGTGTCTTGAAAGTGAACATGGTATTAAGTACTTTTAAAATAATGGTACACAGATTTGGTGAAAATAAAATCTTCCTGCTGGTGGGATCATTTATAGTTCCTTATTTTTAAAGACAACTTTTTCTTTCCATTTTATGTTGCTCTTGAAAGTTTAATCGGCAGAGTACTGATTACATTAAAAATGTGATGATCACACAATACTCAGCTTTCCAGCTGACGATTTTGAGTATGTCTTTGCTCAAATGTCATTTGGGCTCTAGCATTTAGAGGAATGCCAATCATAGTGATGCTTCTGTTATTTTTAATATGGAGGGAACTGAGCTAAAACAGTTATCAAATTTTATCTCACCACTTTATATTTGACTTGCTGATTCATGAGTAATGATAGTTGATGAACATACAGTTGCTTGACTCACTGATGGGGACAGTTCCAAAGTAGATACATGCTGGATTTTCATTTCAACCATTATGTTTTTGGCACGTTGTCAGTGAAACCATTTCTACTGACCTTTTGCCCCAGAATTGACCAGGTTTTGCTGAACTGACTGGGTGTTTGTAAACATGACCATAACATGTGGCTAAAAAGTCAGATGGTTGCTGTATTGTTCAATTGGTGTATGTTGAATATAGATGTCTCCCTTATGTCTTTCATTGGTTATGCAAAAATTGTTTACTTAAGTAGACTAAAATTTTAATATCTAGCTTGATAACCCAGCATCGAAACTAAGTCTCCATTCCAGTTGAAGTAGCATCGTACATTAATTTACTTTTTGATAGTGGGCTTTCATTTTTCTTATATGATCTTAAAACAGTCCCAGTTAAAATTGATAGAGTGAGTTCACTTGGCTAAAACTGAGCAAAATTGGTGCAACTTTCTTTTAACGGGGTGCTGCCTCTTTAAGACTGACTGTACTATCCACTGACACTGGTTTGGCAGTTGGTACTGCTGAACATTTTTATACATGCTACCATGAAGCTATATATGTTAGTATTGAAGAAGCTAACGGGTATACTATCATTTTTGATATGTGGGCTGATTGTAATTTCCCTTACTTTAGGATGAAACTACTCTAGAGAAGTCCACAGATCAGAAACCAGACAGTAGTTTTTGAAGTCGAAGCCAACAAAATAAATAAAGAAAAAAGAAAAAATTACTATTAAAAAATTGGTTTTGATATTTTCTGCCTCTTCCCCAAATTACCCTCCCTACTTGCTTGACAAATCTATGTAAAGGACTTTGTTTGTCACGTTTTAATTTTACCTTGCCCTGTGTTATGGTATTGGCTGACATGTATAAGACTGGATGTGTATATTTATTATGGTGTCTAAAAATCATGAAGTTCATCACTTTCCGGGAGCATAGATAAAAGCAAATCGGTAGTGCATCAGAGTTACTTTTCAGTGCACCATGACATCACTAAAATGAGTGCTATAATGTTACAGGGCTTTCAGGTTTGTAAAAACATAACCATAAATTATATTGACGTCAGATATGAGTTGAGTATCTATAAAGTATCACGTGTATCTCAAAATATTGGACTGCTGTTTGATGACTGGATATTGCTGCATAATTTTCTTCTATTGTCCCATATCCTTTTGGAGAGAGAGATTTAATGGGATTTGAAATGTGCAAGATGTCTAAATAAGATGCAGTCAAATAAAGTTGGTTAAGTTGTGTTTGCATTTTTCTTTTAGATACAGCTGTGTGCATTTTATGATTGAGTTGTTCTGCTTTTACCTAAGAAAAAAAACCAAGCAATCCATTCAGTTCTCCACTTCCTGCCTCCCATCCAAGAATTATTTGGGAGAAGTGATATATAATTGTTATCTACTTTGTGTTCTGACAAAGTAAATTTAAAAATAACAGCATGAATTTGATTTTCCTAAAAATATTCAAAGTTAGTCAACTCAGATATCAGATATCAATACAAATGAGAGCATTTTTGCATGTATAAAACCAAAACTTGGTTTTTTGTCCTTGTCCCATAGCAATTTATTCCTAAGACTGTTTTTATTTTAATTTACTACCTTTTTTGTTTGTACTTAAGTAATGTTTCTCCCCCCTTGTTAAGACACCAAAGTAAAATAGAGCAATATCTGGGCTTTTTGCCTCATTCTTGTAAGGAGCTTTAAATGGTAGTTATGTATGCTTTTATATTTAAAGATTTATGGATGTTAGTGGAAGAAAGAGATGTTTTAAATGTGAGTACTAAATTACTTTCATCATCCATGCAGTATTCACTTTGTTCTTTTATAGTTAGTAAAAATGGCTGAGTTCATGTTTTACTTGAATCTTATATGGGACTCCTGAATACCTCATAAATTGTCTAAATAATGATCGGAAAGTTGATAGCATCCTTTGACACCTATGAACAGAGATCACTATTAATGTGTAGCCCAGCGATATAGTGAGTGGTAACTTCTAAACAACTTTTAAAAGGGTGAGAAGTCTCATGAGCATATAGCACGCTGCACTTTTTTTCAGATCAGTGCTGTCCAGTGGCCCTTTTTACAATAATAAAAATGTTCTTTGTGCTCTCCAGTATGGTAGCCACTAGTCACATATAGCTGGTGAGCCCTTGAAGCAACAGCTAGTATGATTGAAGAACTGAATTTTTAATTTTAATTAATTGGAATTTAAGTAGTCACGTGGCTAGTGGCTACTGTATTGGACAGCATAGCTTTAGATAATATTTAAGCAGTAGTAACTAAGGAAAGTGTTTTTTCAGTAGGATTTTTAAGACGACCAAGTTACTGAAATATGAAATGGAAGCATCAGGATTAAAAATCTCTGAGCAAGGGAACAGCTGCGCTGTTCATGTTGATTGTCTTTTGCATCCATACAGTTATTTGACACCACCTCTCTCCCACCCCCATTGTGATGTAGCCCTTCTGAGAAAAGCCGCCCTTGAAGTTTTTATTTGGAAATTTTCTGGGTTGCAGAGATGCACAGATTCAAGTGGCAATAATTAGTTTCTGATGAGACTGTCATGTCTTTTTAGTGTTAAAATATTTTACATAGTTAAACCTAATAATCTCTCATTGTAGATGAATTTGAAGTCATTTCATGTCTAAATGAGATTGGTCATTTCTCATTTTACCAGTGTTCAAACTGGAACATAGAAGTATATCGTATTTGTACTTTAATTCTGGAAGATCATTCATGCTGAAGCAAAGGCGGCGAGTGTTTTTGTTTCTGAGAGAACAAGATTTTGCTGTGTTCTCTGGCCATGTCGTGTGTCACTCTTGATTCTAGCTGGTCATGTGGTTGGTGTAACTCATCAAAAGGGCAGGAGTGAGGTTGAAAAACACCTGGCCAAGGGGAGTGCCAGGCTTGGTACAGTTTGTTCCCACTGCTGGGGAAAGAGCTCAAAGCGTATGTTTGTTTGATAGCAATCAGTGTCTGATCGTCATATGAAAAGACCTAGGGATAACAAAGACCACCAAAGTGCCAAAATCTAATACTAAAAAAAATGTGAACAATGCAGGGGTTATAATGTAAGGTTTTTATAATGCTAAGAAATAAGCTCATTTTTAGTTAATGGATTTTCATTACTACCTCTTTGCTGTATAAAATATATCTCAGTTTTCTAATACCTCAATTTCCTGAGAATCTGTATGTACGTTTTTGTAAATAAAAATTTACCATATGCTAGGGGAAGGACCTGGCTTTTAAAGAAATTGTATAAAGACCGTTGTTACTGGATTTGTTAAACAGTGAATCGATTTGAAACTTCTTTAAAACATTTTATAGCCTTTTCTGGTCCCCTTGACTGAGGTGTTGTTTTTTTTGTTTTGTTTTCTTTCTTTTTTTAGTAAACATAATCTTATTTAGTGAGATCTGTGTTCAGGAAGCATGTACCCTCATTTGTTAATTTACAACTGCAAAGATTTGTATGTCTCCTATGTTTTCCTTTCATGCCAAAGAAACACTTTTTTAAAAGCCAGCAGGTTGCACGAACTGAAAAAAAAAATTTTTTTTTTTTTTTGCCCCTTATACAGGCATTCTTAAGTTTTATTTCCTGGGATTTAGATACTTTCCAGAAAAAACAATATCTTCAATTTTTTAGTTAAAGCTAGTGGTAATAATTTGTGAAAATACATGTTTTTAGGAATGCATTAGTTCCATTAAGGAAGTAATGACAGTTTTAAGGAACTGTGCTGCATTCAGTCCACAATTGCATGAACCTTTTTAAAGCCAATATAAGATATAATTGCTAAATTGTGTGTGTATGTGAACTCAGGATTCAATGGCCTAACATGTAGGGGATTGATCGCTGTTATCTTTAGGGCCAAATTTCCCATGATTGCACACGGCTATTGATCTTATTTTTAAGGGGGCTAAACCTGCTGCCTTTAAACTTTGCTATCTCCCTCCCTCCAACTGTGGCTGTAAACAGTGACTCTGCATAGTCAGCTAGCATTATACTTGATTCTACTGTGAATGCAAATAAAATTTGTTAAGTCCATCAAGTATTAACTAGGTAAATGTAAACTGATTTCAACCTTGTCTTTGGCCAAGTCTACTTAATAGCTTATGATAATTTGGAAATGAATTACATCAATATGAATGTGAACATTGTGTTTGAGTTATTGTGGGAATAATTATTCATATTTGGAACTGATAACATTTATTTAAAGTGTTTATTTCCATCCTTATGGGGCAAGTTTCTTAACCTCTCTGAGCCTTTAGTGATTACTACCTGAAAGGCATATTCTGAAGAAAAAATGAGATGATTTATATAAGTTACCTTAACAATTCCTAGTAGCTTACTGCACAGTAAAGAATAAATGATAATTTATTATTGGCATTTAATATTGGTATATCTATTGTTAATATACATGCCATATTAGTATATAGTAATTTTGTATTTTGGCATTGGGTTTTGTAGAACCATATAAACAGTGAAAGTCATCTAAATATTATATTAGATCTTATGAGAGTAGCCCAAACTGTAGCAAGTGAAGAAAAAAAACTTTTTGCCTTTTTATTGTAGAGAATATTAAAATAGGTAGAAGACTATAATGATCTTTTTGTGTACTTAACTAGGTCCAACACCCATGGCCAATCTGGCCCTATCCATTCCCCACCATCCCTTCTCACATTTTTTTCAAAACAAATCCCAGAGATTGTATCTTATCTACAAATATTTCAGTACTTATCTCAAATGGTAAGGTCTCATTTTAAATAAAACCACAATACCATTACACACACACAGTAATCCTTAATCATCATATAACCAGTATTAATGCTCCAATTTCTAGGAAATTGTTTTTAATAGCAGTATTGAGGTGTGTAAAAAGTGGAGGGTAAATATAATGAATACAGAGGAGGCCACTTTTGCAAAGAGGATGAAAAATTTCTGTTAACAAGGAAAATAGACCCCTAAGTAGGTAAATTTGGAGGTACAGACAAATGATTAAGGGGGGAAAAGTGGGAAAGCAGAGTAAAGTTGAAAGCAGGGGCTGTGTCTTGCATCCTCATTACCTAGTGTTTTCCTGTGGGCATAGTAAGACGCAGATGTTTATTGGGGGGGAAAATGGAATTGATAAATCTGGTGAAATTGCCAACAGTGACAAAGGAATGACTCTTAGGAGAAGGGGTTAAGCTTTTGAAATAAAATCAACAAACCATGGCAGAAAAGACACTTGGGTGAACAGGAAAGAAAATGGGTGGTAAAATGGGCAGAAAATTTTAATGGAGATGGCTCAGCAAGTGAATGCAGGGTCTTTGTTGTTTTTTCTTTTGGAAGAAGATGAAGTGGGGAAAGCATAAGGATCACCTTATAATCAAACACCCCAATACTGTGGTCAGAAGGGATCAGTAGAGGAATAATTCAGGATAAATTCACAGTCATTATCAGAATTTATAAGGAAGTCAAACTACATGGCCAGAAATGCATCAAAGCAGGAGACTCTTTCTTTGAAGATTTTATTTATTTGAGAGAGAATGAGAGACAGAGAGCATGAGAGGGAGGAAGGTCAGAGGGAGAAGCAGACTCCCTGCCGAGCAGGGAGCCCGATGCGGGTCTCAATCCCAGGACTCCAGGATCATGACCTGAGCCGAAGGCAGCCGCCCAACCAACTGAGCCACCCAGGCGCCCGAGACTCTTTCTTTGTACTGTAGTTTACACTAAATGCATATAGAGTGTGAATTACATGCACAGTTGTGGCTCTCAAACCAGTGGGTCCAATTTTCTTTTTGTTTAAAAGAGCACCTAACTGGAGACACAGAACACCTGGACGTGTTTGCACAACCTACTGAGGAGAGGATCATTGTGGTCTGGCCTGATACGGGATACTTGGAGCTGCTGGGGTGTGACCCCCTCAGCTTGAGGTGGAGAGACCTATGATTCATGTTCTTTCTCCAGTGCTGCGAGGGCGGCAGAGTGATAGCGGTAGTAAGTCGGATACCGGCAAGGCTGCCTTCTTACAGTTTTCAAAGCAGTTTCACCGACTTTCAATCTTTCAAAAGGTCTTTTGAGTTGGAAAGATAAAATCGATACTCAAAGTGCTTAAATGACACCTCTGTCTGAGGTCACACAGCAGTGATGAGACCCGAACCCAGGCCTCTTGAGTCTCCTCTATCTCGTTTTCTTCCTACCACACTCAGTGTTTGATGAAACCCAGAGAGGACAGAGTCCAGTATGTTTAATTCTGGTGGATAAAATTAGAACTTTAATGAATTCTACTAAATTATTTAAATTCAGCCGTTGGATTCGGCATAAGCTTTCAGTGCTCTCTTAAACTGTTTAATAGGTCCAATTTGTAAAATCCATGGAAGGATTTAGGATCAAGTGATTCTTAATGTCTAATTGGCTTCTAATAATTAGGTCTATAGTATCTTTCAAGAGGACTGATACTGGTTTCTTTTTTTTTTTTTAAGATTTTATTTATTTGTTTGACAGAGAGCGACACAGCGAGAGAGGGAACACAAGCAGAGGGAGTGGGAGAGGGAGAAGCAGGCTCCCCACTGAGCAGGGAGCCCGATGCGGGGCTCGATCCCAGGACCCTGGGGTCAGGACCTGAGCTGAAGGCAGTCACTTAACGACTGAGCCACCCAGGCGCCCCTGGTTTCTTTTTTAAAACAAAGTTTCCTTATGCATTGTCCCATTCTGTGAAGGTTGAAATGAATACTTATATTTAATTTTAAATTTTCCAAATGTTGTGCTTTAGCCTGTAACTCTCTTGCCATATTTCCAGTAAACTTTTACTTGTCAAATTTCAAATAAGCCCATGGAAACACTTTTTTTTTTTTTTAAGGGAAAGAATGAAGTTCATAGGAAAACTACCTTGATTATTAATCAAGTTTGAAGTCTAATTAAAGTATGTAAAAATAGTTAAAAACACCTTGCAAAATCGGAGTCATACTAATATTCTCTTTATAGTGCTAAGCCTATGTTAGAGCAAACATTAAGACATTATTTTTGTGTATATATGTATGTGTGTGTTTACGTATGTACGTGTGAATATATATATATATTTTAAAGTATTTGAGAGAGAGAGAGTGAGAGAGAGAGCCCAAGAGGGGGTAGGGTGAGAGGGAGAAGCAGACTCCCCGCCGAGCAGGGAGCCCAATGCGGGACTCGATCCCGGGACTCCAGGATCATGACCTGAGCCGAAGGCAGTCGCTTAACCGACTGAGCCACCCAGGCGCCCGTGAATATATTTTTTAAAGAGACCCTTTTCCTGGTGGTAAAAACTTGCTTGAATTAGAGTATCCACTGGTGGTTATAAAATGTGAAGTGACTGGATTTGCCTACGAAGCTGCCTTCAAACACAGTAGGATGCTAATAGGCAAAACCAGTGCTACTTGATAACACTGGTCAGGTCATGAATGTCGAGCCTAGGATGAAAGAAGAACTTTGTCATCTCCCTACTCATAAAAACGGGGTTATCAATATTTGCCTTTCAGGTGGGTGATGTCGGTTCTACTGGAATGGGACTCCCATGACAGCAGGGAATTTGTTCACGGCTGTATGTTTTCACTGCCTAGAACAGTGCCTGGAACATATTAGGCATAAAATAAATGTTTATTACATAAATGTATTAATTGATGCAGATTGCTTTTTAAGGTGCATAACAGAAAGTTTTCAGACTTAAAATCATCAGAGGCATCAAGGTGTTAACTGGCTAGCCAGTCAATCTTTATGTATTTCCCTCCCTCCCTTTCTCTCCCCTTCCTACATTCTTCATGGGAAATATACATCCTCTGCTGACGTTCTTTACCTTTGCAGCATAAGGTCATGAGAGATGACGTTCTGCCAGGAGGCAATAGCTCTATTCCGTTATCTATTAAACAATTCCCAAGCACCTGCGCTGGGCCAGGCATCATGCTGGGCACTAAGAAGACAGAACCAGTCGAATGGCTCTTGAGAGGTTCACAGGCCAACCTGCTCTGTGTGATTTGCAGAGGTGATCACCAGGTTATTAGGATTGCAGAGATGTTGACAAGGCAAAAACTCTGGAGATTCAGTAAGATCCCAGATATTTTTCTTTCTGAATTATTTTCCTGTGCTTTTTAAAAGAGAAAGGCCTACTGTATTGTGAAGATAAAGATTTTTTTTTATCATGTCAGACATTCAAATCCTCAGACACATAAATCCAAATACAATTAACCCTGAATCGTAAATTAGACCTAGGAATTTGAACAAGGAAGTTTTATGGAAATTGAGATATCTGATTCATGTATTTTATCCCAAATGAAATAACTTTTCGTAAACCTAATGCAGTTGGACATGTGTTTTGTTTTAAAGTTATCCGTACATAACTTCAGTTATGAGGAATAACAAGTGCTTTAAAAACTAACAGTGCTTTTAAAACTTACAGTGTACATGTTCAAGTTTGTCTAACCTGTAACCTAAATTTTCCCATTCTTTGGCCACCTGATATTGCTACTTCTGTCTCCCCCACCCCAAGAACCTTGTCAAATCAGCTATCCACTCCATTTGCTGGCAAGGCCAAGGACAGGAACACACCTTTTCGGGCAAAGCAGCCTACTGACAGCGAGGAGAATCAAGGCCAAGAAACAGGGTCATTTTTATATATAGAAAAATAGATGGAAGCAAAAGGGATCCAACCAGCTAGGGCCAACAGTCTGGTTATTTACATAGGCAGAAGAAGGGGAGAGAATATTAGAGATTTTTGTGGACTGAAGTAGAGGGTTCTGAGTCTTAATACAGAATGATTTTACTTTGTACAAAAAGACATTTTAAAATATTGTAAGGGTATTATTTTTTTCCAAATGAATGTCAGCAAAAATCATTACATCTACCTTGAAACGTAGGCAGCTTTTTTGCTTAGTTTGCCTTAACCGGGGAAAATATGATTCATTTCTCTGTAAGTGTGAGTCAACCATATTTTCGACTTGGTTGGGAAGTACTGAATTCTCTTTTGAATGGTCATATAACTATTGTGTGAGCCTCATTTTTTTTTTTTTAACCTTCAGGGATTTAATTAAATCAACTAC